TTCCTTCCTTCCTTCCTTCCTTCCTTCCTTCCTTCCTTCCTTCCTTCCTTTCTTTCTTTCTTTCTTTCTTTCTTTTTCTTTCTTTCTTTCTTTCTTTCTTTCTTTCTTTCTTTTTTTCTTTCTTTCTTCTTCCTTCCTTCCTTCCTTCCTTCCTTTCTCTCTCTTTTTTCCTTCTTTCTTTCATTCTTTATTTTTTTTACCCAAGTATCCTTGACTTCTAGGTTGGCTCTCTTTCTACATTGCCAAGTTTAATTATCCTCTTTTTATGGGCAAAGAAACTGAGACTCATAGAGATTAAATGCATTGTCTATGGTTACATGACCAATAAATGGCAGAGCTGGGACTTTGGGTCTACTTTTAATGATGAAGCAGGTCTTCAAATCAACTTTGTGATTCATGGTGTGAAAATAATGTAAGATGTAATTCAGACAAATTGAGTTGAATGAAAGACAGGTTTAGTTACTACGGTAGCTCACAGATAGTTAATAACAGTAATAATAAAGTGCCTAATATGTATCAGACACTGTGCTAAGTGTTTTACCAATATAACACTTAATCATCACAGCAGCCTTGTGAGGTAGGTCTATTGAGGAAACTGATGAAAACAGAGGTTAAGTGACTTGCCCAGGATCACAAAACTAGCAAGTATCTTAGGGAGAATTTGAACTCAGGTCTTCTTGACTTCAGGTTCAGCATTTAACAATGCCAACCACTTGCTAAGCTCAGTTGCTTCTGCTTCTGAGTGAGGGCATGTGTTAAATTTTTGGTGCTCTGGTGCTCTGGGGCAAAGCTCTGATCATTCTTCCTTAGTTATAGCTCTGCCATACTTGAACCCATGTGTTTGTTCGTTCATTTGTTTGTTTTGCATTGTATTTTTTATTGATTTTGCAAAACATTTCCCAATTATAATTTTCAACTTCTTTTTAAGTTGTTAAATTATTATTTATTTTAAATATTCATTTAAAAATTTTGAATTCTAAATTCTTTCCCTCCCTCTGGCCTCTATCCATTAAGAAGGCAAGAAATGTGAAATCAATCATCCATGTAAAATCATGCAAAATATATTCCATGTTGTCCATTTTGCGAAGAAAAAAGTAAGAAAAATACAGTAAGTGAAAAAATTATGCTTCACTCTGCACTCAGCCTCCATAGTTCTCTCTCTGGAGGTAGATAGCATTTTTTATCATAAGTCCTTTGGAATTGGATTGTTGTATTGATCTTAAAAGCTAAGTCATTCACAGTTGATCAGCGCTCAAAAATAATGTTTTTTGATTTTTTAAATAACTAATTTCACCTGTTAGCATTCTTTTTCCTGAAGTAATCTCGTGTGACTTTATCTGTGTTCATTTTCATTGACTCAGGAGCATTTAAATTCTATGAGAGCAGAGATTTTGAATCCTTGTGTCTGTATTCTCAGTGACTAGCACACGCTCTCACATATAATCTATGCTCAAATGATCAATCAAAAAAGCATTTATTTAGTGCCTATTAAATACCTGGCACTGTTCTAGGAGCTAGGGATGCAAATACAAAAATGTGACAGTCTCTGCCCTCAAGGAGCTTACATTCTAAGGGGTTGGGGGAGGATGATTAAGTATTTCTATGGGACATACTATGTGACAGGCTCTGGGCTAAGCTTTACAGATATTATCTCACCTGATCAGATCCTAATATTCCTTTGAGAAAGGTGCAATGATCTCCATTTTACAGATGAGGAAACTAAGGCAGTTGGCAGTTAAGTGAATTGCCCAGGGTCATACAGCATACATAGAGGAGTAGTAATGAGGGAAAAGAGCTGACAGTTATAGGGACTGTCAGTGAAGCCACAGTGTGGGAGATTACCATACTTGCCCCAGTTGCAATGGTAATTACTTTGAGCATTTCTTTTATAGTCTGCAATTTTGTTGAAGTTATAAATTGTCTTAATTAGCATCTTTGCAGATTCCCTAAGATTTTCTAAGCAAGCCATCATACCATTGGCAAATAGGGACAGTTTTATCTCTTTACCTGTTAACATTAATTTGATAATTAATAATAAAAAAATGATTAAAATTGTTCCAAGAACAAGAGTTGGAAAACAGAAAGAGGGTGGTTCACAAATGAAAAGATGGCCATGCATACTGGATAGGCTCTGGTGTTTTGGTGGATGGCTAGATGGAATTTAGAATATCCTCTAACTGTGTTGGAATGAAGGAAGGAAGGAAGGAAGGAAGGAAGGAAGGAAGGAAGGAAGGAAGGAAGGAAAAAGAAGGAAGGAAAGAAGGAAGGAAGGAAAGAAGGAAGGAAGGAAGGAAGGAAGGAAGGAAGGAAGGAAGGAAGGAAGGAAGGAAGGAAGGAAGGAAGGAAGGAAAGAAGGAAGGAAGGAAAGAAGGAAGGAAGGAAAGAAGGAAGGAAGGAAAGAAGGAAGGAAGGAAAGAAGGAAGGAAGGAAGGAAGGAAGGAAGAATGAATGAATGAATTTCTAATTTTGCTATGAAGTGACATTTTTTATTTAGTTAACATATCCATTTTGAGCATATTTTATTATATAACATAAGATATTGTTATAAACCCAATTTCTGTCAAACTCCTTTCCAATTTTCTCAGAAGTTCTTATCAAGAAGGCACTGCTTCCCTCCAGTAATTTATGTCCTTGTATTTATCAGACTCTGGCCTACTGTTTTCAATTCCTTCTGTTTCTTATTCATTTAGTCTGTTCCTGGTGCCTACCTTTCTGTTTTTAAAGTAGGTACCAGATAGCTCTGATTAGGAATTTTTTCTCCCTTATATCAACTCTAGATTTTACTCTCTGAAATTTACACACAATTCCCCTAGTTCTACCTTCTTAAGACAAGCAGACCAAGTCCCACCCCTCCTCCATATTACTGTCCTTCAAATACTCAAAGATAGCTAGCATTCCTTTCCACCTGCTCCTCTTACCACATGTCTTCTATTTTCCAGGTTGAACATTTATTCTCGGTAATGATAATGATCATGAAGATGATTTAACTTTCTAAAATTTTATCTATATGTTGCCTCATTTAATACAACCACCCTGTAAAGTAGGCATTACAGTTATTATCATTCCAATTTTACAATTGGGGGTCTATACAACTGGGGAAGAGTTGAGGGCCTGAGACATAAAGTGTTTGCCAGGATCCAACAGCTAGTAAATGTGTTGGGTTGAGTTGGACTCAATGGTTACTGAAATCTGTCTTCGAAATGTTATAAGTGTTAAAGGTTGAATTCAAATCCTGTTCTCTCCTTTCTCCAAGTCCATTGAGATTTCCACTGTACCGTGATGAGGCAGAAATGGAAAAAATAAAAAAAATCTGGTTATTTATCCACGTGAAATGTTTTCAGATGTCGAAATGCTTAGTCTCAGGTAGACAATAACCTAGAATTTTGACAACATTTTCCAGGATCATCAGAATGTTGTAGATCATACAGAACAGAGTCATAGGCTACATACACTAATAATGGGTATAGTCCTGAATGAACACTGCTCAGTTATGATTCCACATAGTTTATGAAATGCTCAAAATAAGAGAAACTCTGTAACCCAAAGGATTGCTTCATTTGGAAAAAAAACAAGCATAGCCCTTCACACAGAAACTTTTGCACGCAGATATATGTTGAAATTATCAGTAGCTCAAGAAAATGTTTAGAAGGATGGTTTCAGCTATTTAGACAGACTTCAATAGCCACAGAGTGGGTAGTAGGAAACTAAATGTTGGCCACACCAAAGTAGACCTATGTAGAGATGTTTATCTTCTGGACTCAGGCCTTGGAACAATTCAGAGGATGGGTCCTTGGTTTTCTTAGACTGAATCTTTAAATCCTCCAGAAAGGAGACTGCACCTTGTCATCTCCTCTTTGTTTACTTAAGAAAACTATACAGGAAGCTGGCATTATTGTTCTTCCAAACCTAAAAAAACCCAAAAACCCAAAAACTGATGATCTCAAGATAACGCATGACCACAGGGGGGAAAAAAGAAAAGAACGATCTGTTTCTACAATGACTGTGAGTTAAAGGACGTCAGGTCAGCTTAGAAACGTTCCAATGCCAATTGGCCATTTGCATTCAGTTAATAAATCTGCCAGAAAATGATTGGCCCCCTTCCAGTTTGATGGATACAACAGTTTTGGAGGATTTATTTTCTCCCTCTCCCTGAACTGTGTTTCTTGAATGGAATAGCATTGCCACTTTTTTTTAAGAAGTATTGATGTGCTAGGTGGTGGAACGGATAAAATGCCGGGCCTGGAGTCAGGAAGACTCATCTTCCTGAGTTCGAATCTGGTCTCAGACACTTCCTAGCTGTGTGTCCCTGGGTCAGTCATTTAACCCTGTTTCCCTCAGTTTCTTCTCTGTGAAACGATCGGGAGAAGGAAATGGCAAACTACTAACTGTATGACCCTGGGTAAGTCACTTAACTCTGTTTTCCTCAGTTTCCTCATCTGTAAAATGAGCTGGAGAAGAAAATGGCAGGCCACTCCAGTATCTTTGCCAAGAAGACCCCAAATGGGGTCACAAAGAGTCAGACGTGACTGAAAACAGACTGAACAACAACACACCAGGGGTATAGTTCTTGATTAAACAGTTCAAATAAACTATCCTTCCTAACTTTATTGTGATTTCACAGGATCATAGATTGAGATACAGAAGGGAACTTTCAGATCATCTAACCTGACCTCTTTATTTTCTAGATAAAGAAAAATGAGACCTAATGAGTTTATAACTTGCCTGAGATCACATAGGTATTAAACAGCAAAGCAAGGACTTGAATCTAGGGCCCCTAATACCAACACAAGTCTTCTTCCCACTGCAACATGCTCCCTTTCTCATCTGGTACAGGGGAGACAGCACTGGACTTGGAGTTAGGAAAACCTGAGTTTGAACCCTGCCTTAGACCTGAACTAGCTGTGTGACTCTGGGCAAGCCACTGAACCTATCTATTCCTCAGTTTTCTCATCTGAAAAATGGGAAAATAATAGATCCTACTTTCTAGGGTTGTTGCAAGGATAAAATGAGATTATATACACAAAGTATTTTGCAATTCTTAAAGCATTATGTAAATTATAGGCATTATTATGAATCCAGAGAGATGGAGTTAAATTTTGGACACACTCAAGAGCAACGCTGAATGCTCCTCTTCTTAAACCCCAGAAATAAAGTAGGAAAATCACTTGGAGTAGGAGTAGGGAAAATGAGTTGGAGCCCCATTTATGTCACCGATGCTCTGGTTGGCCTTGAGGAAGTCACTTTGCTTTCCTGTGCTTCAATATCTTCTGCTGAAACAACAAAAACAACAACAATGATTTTTAAGGCCCTTTCCGGCTCTAAAAGCTCATGGATTTTGCTTCAACTTAAACTTCAATTATCGGAAAATGCAGGTAACCCAACCTGAAAAAGTAGCAAATGTAGCCACTTAGAGAGCTATAACCTACCCCACTAAAGAGAAACGCCAATGCAGCAACAACTCTCCAAGATTCTAAGTTACAGAAGAGGCACAGATCTGCATTGGTGGAGGTACTTACATGCCAGGACCTCCCTAGACCACTGAAATTACAGGTCTGGGTGAACACGAAGGAAAAAATCAGTGGATGGATAAGCATCTGTGATCCGAGTTGTTAATTTGGACATTCGTTCATTTTTATGCAGTCATGGTCACAAATAATCTGAATATCACTCACGAGAGTAGAGCTGAGGCTTTTCTAGGCACGTTATTAGAAGCATTGGTCTTTCTGATTTTCCTTTTGCATCCTCAGCATTTGTTCATAGCCTCAGAATCAGTAATTGCTTGATCCTTCCTAATGAGAGTTCCTCCCTGCCCCCACCCAAGAAATGACCTTGGATGTACTTTGTATATATTTTGTATCTGTGTATTTTTATACATTGTGTATATGTGTACATGTTGTTTTCCCTGATAGAATATAAGCTCCTTGAAGGCAGAGGCTGTTTTAATAAGAATAGCTAACATTATTTATAGTGCTTACTGTGTGTCTGGCACTGTGCTAAGCTACTTAAACTTATTATCTTATTGGATCCTTACAACATCCCTGGAAGGTAGGGGCTATTATTATCTCCGTTTTCCTGATGAGCAAACTGAGGCAAACAGAGGTTAGGTGACTTGTTTAGGGTCACACAGCTAATAAGTGTCTGAGGCCAAATTTGAACCGAGTTCTTCCTGACTCCATACCCAGAGGTTTATCCATTGAGCCCCCTGTTAGCCTCTTGTTAAGGCACTTTCATGTTTTCTTTATATCTCCAGGGCTTAGCACAGCACCCAGCACATAATTAGTTTGTAATAAATGACTGCTGATTAATTGATTGAGATTCCATTTCCCAATAGTTTCTCCATTTTCAGTGGCAGCCTAGCATTGTACAGTGGTTCTCAAAGTGCAGTCAAGGGTCCCTTGGGGGTCCCTGAAACCCATGCAGGGGTTGTGACTACAAAGTCACAAATACTTTCACAATTATAGTACGATGTTCTAATTTCTAATACAGTAAATATTAATAACTATATGTACACAAAAATTTTTAGAGGAGTCCTCAATAATTTTTAAGAGTATAAAGTGTTTAGGAAAAAGTATTAAATAAATAAGAACAGTATTTTTTAAAAGAGTATAAAGGGTCCTAAGACAAAATGTTTGAGAAGTACTGTATGGTAAAAAACAAGCTGGCGTTGGAGCTAGGAAGATGAGGGATCAAGTCCAACCCCTGTTACGTTAATCAGCAAATACTGATTAAGTGCCTACTATGTCTTAGACATTGTGCAAGGTGCTGGGGATATAAATAAAATGTATGAAACAGTCCCCACACACTGGCTGTGCAACCCTAGGCAAAATCATTTAACCTTCTTAGCACTCTAGGTAATTCTCTAAGACTGTAAGTTATAGACCTGCATTGGTAGAGGAGGGGAATTTCTGCATCTCTGAGTTTCCTATATTAATGAAACATAAATTTAACCCCTATCCTTGATTCGTAACAGCACTCTCTATCTACCAGTCTTTGCAGTGACGTTAAGCTCACTAGATACACAGCAGAATATGACAGGCCCTGGCTAAACAAACACACTGCTATAACCAGTGTCTCTGTAGCTTTGGGGAATCCATCAAGGACCTTAACTTAAAGGCTGTGAGATCTGTGAGCCACCGACCTGAGGGAAAAGTCCCTGATATTAGAGTAGCCAAAGCCTGAGAAGCTTGGGGAATGGGGAGTGGGCACTGGTATTGCACCAGGGAAAGAGAACTTGGACACAATAGAGAGGAACGTTACCTCTCTTGGAAGCTGCCAAGAGGGTGTGCTCTTATCATGTGGAAGCTAGATTTCCTTGCGGCTCCTTGCCGCCCAATCCCTAATAATAAATCTCTGTAATAATCACTTCTGGTTCCAGAGCTGCTGTGGTTTAGTGGAGAGAGCACCGGATTTGTAGCCAGAGGGCCCAGGGTTTTACTAACTGTTTTCTAAACTCCCTTCCAGCTCTGAATCTGTGATGCTATGATTTTGATGATTGAATTAAACACACACACACACACACACACACACACACACACACACACACACACACACACACAAGATCCCAGTAGTAAGCCAAGTCTCTTATGACTGCAAAGCCAACTCTGGGAAATCTTTGATAAGCAACAGGTTAATAATATTTCCCTGGTAAGGCAATTGATCCTCTAGTGATGCATAGGTGACATCCTATATTTCTTTTTTGGGCTGTTTTGATTTAATGTGCTATGTAGAATACCTCCTCCCTAAGCTCTTAAATTTCTTAGCTTCTTTCAAATCAGCTGAAAATTTATCTCTTTTTAAAAAAAAAATTATTAACTCACATGCAAAAAAAGAACCCATTCAATTGCATACCCAACAAATGGTCATCCAGTCTTTGCTTAAAAAACTTCCAGTAAAAGGCATAACAGGGCATTCCATTCCACTTTTGGATGGTTCTAAATGTTAGGAAATATTCCCTTATGTCAAGCTAAGATTATTCTCTGTGACTTCTATCTTTTTCCTCTTAATTTTGCCCTTGGGGGATCTTATAGAACTAGTGTAATCCCTTTTTCTGGTGACACTTCTTCAAATACTTGGAGACCCCTACCTTGTTTCCTATATTTTTCTTCCCAGGCTAAGCATCCCTAGTTCCTTCAGCTGATACTCATTTTATGTGAACTTAAGGCTTTCACCATCTTGGTTTCCCTCCTCAGGACACTTCAGCTAAACTCAAATCTATATTAATAATTTGCCTGTGGGAGTAGTTTGTGGAATTTTGATCTGAAAAACATTGAAGGTCCCTTCTAACTTTAAACTTCGGGATTGTATATTATTGGGGCTTAGAGTGGGCTTAGAGGCAGCCAGAGGTAGTGCTTTGAGGGGATACCTTCTGGCTTTGCTACCTAAGGCCAGTTGTTAAATTTTTCAGTCTTTCCAGCAGCTCTTAAAGACTGTAAGTTGCAGGACAGTTGCTGGGGTGCATGCCAGGGGGAGCTTTCTCACCTGTGCATATGAGATCACAAATGTCGATGATGAAAAGAATTGGTAATGCTGGGTTAAATATATATTTTAAAACAGAAGGTGTGTGATAAGGCATGTGACCCTAAGTAATGAATTTGGTGTCCAGAGATTTAAATTATACAGGTCAAATCCTGTTGTGATGAGCTCCAGTACTGGGGCAGTACTAGGAGATAGCTACCATATAGTGGGAAAGCTCATTTCCAGCCCTGATTCTGTACCTTAACTAGCTATGTGACCTTGGACATCAATTTTCCTGCCCTTCCTTGATTTCCTCACTTATTGTTTAAGATAATCACTAAGATCTCTTTCAGATCCAATCATCTATAATCTAGAATTCTGGCAGTACATTTATTTTATTTAAATAATCAGCTTTGGAAAGGGATTTAAATCTTTCAATGGGTCAAAGAGTTTTAGACTCATAGCACTCACTTCAATGAGATATGACCCAAAGTTCAAAATCATCAATTTTTATCCAACTTCTTGTTCAAGATGTATTTCCGTAGGGCCACAATATCTGAATGGAGCCTAGCAGCAACTTTAAAAAAGTCTTTCTGATTCTCTGGATTCCTGATTGCCAATTATTGGGAATCCTTGGGGCAACTAACAGGAATCACATTTAGTTTTTTTTTTCCCACCTTGGATAAGTGAGTTATTAGAAAGATGAACATATCTTACTTGTTAGGAACAACACACAGCTTTACTCTGTACCAGCATCTCTACCCAGCTCCCCTTACTTCTCTTGTCACCCCCTCTAGTGTCTGCTACGTTCTATTGCATGGACAAACGAAATCCGCACTTTTTAAAAATTTTTTAAAAAATAGATTTTTACCGTTTTTACATCGCTTAAATTTCTTCTCCTATCTCTCCAAATTCCCTCTCCCTAAAAGTAATCTGTTATAATAAATAATTTTTCAAAGGAAAGAAAAGGAGGAAGAAGAGAAAGAATTTAGCAAGACCAATCAGCACTAGATAAAGTCTGACATTATATGCAATGTTTCATGCTGATAGGCCTTGACTTCTGCAGTAGAGCAAAGGGGATGTCTTCTCTTATCTCTTTTTTTTGGGTCGAGTTTATTCTTTTAATTTCACAACATTCCATTTTGATTGTTTTATGGTTTCTACCCTTTACATTTATCTTCTTGTAATTACTGTATATATTGTTTCTCGACTCTGCTTTATTTTGCATCAGTTCATGCAAGTCTTTCCATGAGTCTCTGTAGTCACCACGTTTGTTATTTCTTATAGCACAGTAATATTCCATTATATTAATGTACCATAATTTATTTAGCCATTCCCAAATTAATGTGTATCTCCTTTATTTGCAAATATTTACTACCAGGTAAAAGTACTAATATATCGCATACACACACACACACACATATACACACACACATATATATATATGCATATGTGTACATGTGTGCATGTCATATGTAAGTAAATATATTAGTATATATTCACAGAGAGAGAAAGAGAGCTTTTCTTTTTGTCAACTACCTCCTCATGTGTATGCCTAGCAGTACAATTACTGGGTCAAAGAGTCACCCAATTCAAGTAATTCATGTCACTTTATTTGCACGCTTCTAAATTGCTTTTCAGAATGGTTAGCCAACTCACACCTTCATTAATGCCTTTGTGTACTTGCCTTTCCACAACCCTTCCAACATTAACTATTCTTGTCATTCAGCATCTTTGAAAATTTGCTAGGGGTGAGGTGAAATTTCAAAATTTTTTCATTTGTGTTTCTCTTGTTATTAGCAATTTGAAGCATTCATTCACATAGTTGTTAATAGTTTGCAATTATTCTTTTGAGAATTGTTTGTTCATATCTTTTAACCATGTTCTGGGAAATAGATTTTGGTTATATTTATATATATATACACATCTGTTATCTGTCTGCATATACTAGATATGAAAAATATCAGAAATATTTAATGCAAAGATTTTTTCCCAGTCAATTGCTTCCTTTCTTATCTTAGATACACAATTTTGTTAATACAAAAGCTTTTCAATTGCACATAATCAAAATCATCTACTTAATATTTTGCAATTATTTCTATCTCTTATATGGTTAAGAATCCATCTCTTGTCCAAAGGTATGAAAAATATATGATCTATTTCTCCTCTAATTTTTTTTCAAATTTTGTGATCTTTAATATTCAGTTCACATGTACATTTTGAATTTATTGTTCAATATGGTAAAAGATATTCTTTTCCCCTTCCCCACTTCTGAATGTATCTAAGATATGTGCTTAAGGCCTAACTCACCAGATATTGTGTAATATTGTATAAGATTGTGCAATGTGGCCCAATTCTAAGTTCTATGAGATTGCTTTACAATTTCCTCAGCTAGTTTAAAAATTCAAATATGAAGTTACTTCCTAGGTGAATTATGTTTTGGAATTTATTTATTTTTTTAAGGCAATTGGTGTTAAGCAACTCGTCCAGGGTCACACAGCTAGTAAGTGTCAAGCGTTTGGTCTGAGGCTGGATTTAAACTCTGGTCCTCCTGATTTCAGGGCTGGTGTTCTTTCCACTGCGCCAACTACCTGCCCCCTGTCGGAATTTATTGAACACGTGTTATAGAGTTCCATTACTTCTGATTCCCCCTAGTTTAGTCTGTTTTATTGATCTACTTTTCTATTTTTTTAACCATGCTTCAAATGATTTTGAAAATTGCTTCTTTGTGATATAATTTGAGGTCTGGAAGTGCTATTTCCCCTTCATTTCTATCTTTTTTTCATAATTTCCCTTAAAGTTCTAGATCTTTCATTCCTCCAAATAATTTTGCCATTATTTTATGTAACTGTAAAGCATCCCTTTGGTAGTTTACTTGTATAACATAAAGTCACATCAGTTTACAAACTAACTTTGGTAAGAGCATCATTTTTATTACATGGCTATGGCCTAGCTATTAGCATTGAATAATTCTCTAGATATTTAAATTGTACTTTATATCTTTAAGAAGCATCGAATAATAGAATCTACAGAAATATTAAGCACATTTCAGTAGACTGATTTCTAAGTATTGTATGCATTTTGTAGTTATTTTGAATGGAATTTCCATATTATTGTCTTTTGGGTTTTTTAAATTAAAATATAAAACCACTATTGATCTTGGCTGAGTTTATTTTATTGCCAGCAACAAGATAATAGACAGTTAATTGTGTTAACACAATTAGCATAACAAGAGTTAATTGTGTCAATGAGTTTCTTTGTTTTTCCCCTGGAGTTTTCTAAGTAAGCTTTCAGCAAATAGGGATGGTTTTGCCTTCTCTTTGTTTATCTTTAATGCTTTGAATTTTTCTTTTTCTTCTTCTCTTTTGGTCTTATTGCTAGCATTTCTGGAACAATACCAAATAATAGTGGAGGAAGGGAACATTCTCATTTTACTACTATATTTGCTGAGAACACTTCTAGTATATCATCCTCATTGTATATAATGTTTACTTGTAATTTTAGGTAGATTTTTTTATCATATTAAAAAAAATCCCTCTATGCCTACACATTGTAGGACTTAATTTTTTTCTTTTCTTTAACACTATTAAGTGTTGTACTTTGTCAAAAGTTTTTCTTCATTTTTTAATGAGCTAATTATGTGTTTTTGTTTGTTTTTTAAGATGATTAATTAATAATAATAGTTAACATTTATATAGCATTTTAAAGCCTGCAAAGCACTTTACAAATATTATCTCATTTTTTTTCTCTCTAACAACAACCTTGGGAGGTAGATATTGTTATTATTTCTATTTTACAAATTAGGAAACTGAGGCAGAAAGAAATTAAATGATTTGTCCAGGATGACAGAGCTAAGTGTCCGAGGAAGAATTTAAACTGAGGTCTTTCTTATTCCTGGTTCAGCACTCTATTCACTGAACAACCTAGATGCCTAAGTAATTTTGCAGGTTTTTTTTTTCCTAAATTGAGGCATTTTTATTTATCATAGATTTAAATATAATGTGGTCATAATGAATGATTTCTTAGTTAAAATTCTAAAGTCTTTGCCAGAATCTTATTTAAAATTCCTGAACTAGTATTCATTAATGATGTTGTTCTATAGGTCTTTTTTTTCCCTTTTTCTTTCCCTCATTTGGGTATTACAACACTATTATACACATAAAGGGCTTGGCAACTAACACTTCCAATTAATCTGTTCCTTCATTCTTCTGTGTCTTGTAGTGAGGAGATTTAGGCAACCGCCGGGAGGGTGGCTTTATTCTCATTCCAAATCTTGTCTCCATGAAGCCTTCCCTGAAATGTTCAGCCTGCATTCACTTCCCTTCCTGTTTACCCAGAGCACTTGCTGTTTTGCCATCCATTTTGTTACATGATTGTGTCACATAACAATGCTATGAGGGAAGTAGTACAAAGGATAAGTATCCTCCTTTTACAGTTGTCAGTACTAAAGGCCAGATAGGCTAAGTGAGTTGCCAAGAGGAGTACAGCTGTTAAGCGGCAGAGCAGGGACTTACCTGAACGCAGTTTTATCCAGTTCCTTAGCCAGGGAGCTTTTTAATGCTCTGTGACCGAAATGCTTCCATTTGCACTTTCAAATTGTACCACGACATTGATGCGCTGTCAGCAAAGCTGTGAATCGGTGCAGCCACCACAAAAAGAGCTGCTATAAATATTTTTGGTGCAGCCACTTTGGAAAGCAACATGGAACAACATGGGACTATAATTATAAACTTACTAAATTGTGCCTACCCTTTGGTCTAGCCATAGCATTACTAGGCCTGTGCCCCAAAGAGATTAAAGAAAGAGGAAAAGGTCCTATATGTACGAAACTACAGTAACTCTTTCCATAGTAGCCAAGACTCCAAAACTAAAGGAGGTACTCTCCTATTAGGAAATGCCTAAGTAATTATAGTACCAGAATGTAATGGAATAATACTATAGGATAATAACTGAAGAAGTGAACTATTTCAGAGGAAACTGGGAAAACATCTATGAACTAATATTGAGTGAAGTGAGCAGAATGAAGAGAACAATTCATATGATAGCAACATTATAAAGAAAACATTAAAAGACTTAAAAATTCTGATCATTGCAGTGATAAACTGTAAGTCCGGAGGACTGAAGATGAAACATACTATCTAACTCTTACTAGAGAGGCGATGGACTTAAAATGCAAAATGAAATATACATATTTGGACGTGGCTGATGTAGGTTTTTCTGGATCATGAATATTTGTTATTAGAGTTTTCTTTTTATTTTCTCTTTGAAAATTGTTTGGAGAGGCAGTTGAATAGAGAGATTATAAATGCTTATAAAATAAACAAATATTTTTAAAAAGAAAAAAATGCAAAAAATTAGGAGGCAAGATCCTCAGCTTAGAAAGGAGGGAAGAGAAAATGAAGAAAGGAAGAAAGACAAAGGATGGGAAGGGAAAGGAAGGAAAGGATCAGATCTGTAGTGCACAAGGCAGAGAATCACTTAGTATAAATGGATATGTTGAATTTCCCTAGTATAAGCTCAAGGATTTAGAGAAAGAAGAAGATTGTGTGCCAGGTACTAAATTCCTTGAGAAAGGAAGTGAGAATGACCCAGGAATTTTAAAAATGATGATGATGATGATTGATGATGATGATGATGATGATGATGATATATATTTTAAGGTACATTTAAAGTACTTGATACCAGGGAACATGAGACCTGTGGTTTAATGCATCCTGTTGGTGTTACGTCAGGGCATTATGGAGTGAGTGGAAATGTAGAGGCAGAAGAGACCTGAGAGGCAGGATGGGGTAGCAAGGTGGCCTCAGGGAAGGGAAGACCTATTTTCAAGCTCAGTTCTGACACATTCTAGTTATATAACCTGGACAAGTCAATTCTTGTGACTCAGGCAACTCTCTAAGAGAGATATTTTAGACTTGGGGTCCATGGATCCTCAAGGAGGCTGTGGATAGCTTTTGGGGGCTCTCTGAACTTGCATAAGAAAAAATATTACATTTTTATATTCACTAACCTCTAATGGAAATTTAGCTTCTCCTTAATTTTTGAATGTAGACAACAAACATTATTCTGAGAAGGGATCCACAGGTTTCACCAGACTGCCCATGGGGTCTATGACACAAAAAAAGGTTAAAAAAAAAACCCTTCTTCTTTAAGACAATAAGTTGTCAAGTAGGTGCCATCCTGCTCCTGGTGTGATAACTGTGACTACTGAAGTCACTTAACCCTTCTGAGCCTCAGGATCTTTATCTGCAAAATGGGCACATTAGTAACTACTTTACAGGGCTATTATTGTGAGGAGCCAATGAGACAAGTGTAAAATTCCTTGCCCACATTAAAGTGCTAAATAACTTTCAGCTATTATCAACACCACTGGGATTTCCCACACTTCTGACACGATCATTAATAACACCAAGAGTATATTCAGTGATTTAAGGCTTACTCTCTATTGGAATCCTTTGCTGATTTTTCAGTCCAGAGTACAGGATTCTCTAGGGTCATGGCCTGCAGAGCATAAACTCTGACAGATCTACGCATGTCCTTTGCCTCAGTTCCAGCCTGACTAAGTTTGGACCCAGTCCTCGGCAGGTTGTCAAAGCTTCATTATTTTTTCAGCCACGGCAACTCTTGAAGACCATTAAAAGGGGTTGTGAACTGTATCGGGGGAGGGAGCCCATGAAATGACAGCTCCTTGAAGTATCTGGAATTTACAAAGTTCCAACGTAAATTCTGGCTACAGAGACACACACGACCCTAATGAGATTTGGCCAGGAGCCTGGAGAAGTTCTTTTTGGGGGGAGTGGTAGTAGCTATGAGTTAAGTCCATCAAAGATACTCAGGGCATATTTCACATTCATGAGAAAGCCACTTAGGAATCCTGGCCTTCGCCCCAGACTTCTAAGATGACTCAAGGATTTCAGAATAAGGCTGCTGGCATTTATGCTTATTAAAATGAAAGGGCAAGTTGCTCTAGGCCAGGTATCACCACCAGAGCGTAACCCAAGACCCTCACGCTGCAATGCCCTGCTCTGAACTCCCATCCCCTGAGACGGTTAGTTACTGAAGCGGAAGGGGCCTGGGTAATATAATACCTTTCAGCTCATCGTTGGAATTGCCTGACTGGAAATGGATGGGCCTTATTTGCCAGTCTTTTCCAGGAATCAAACAAGGTTGCAATCCAACCTTTTGATCTCTTGTTTTATATATAGGCTACTTCCCACAAAATGTGCTTTGGAACATGCAAAATCATTGATGCATCCTGTCCTGGCACTGAGATTTCATAACCAATGCTCTCATTCCACCCTATCATGAATATTTAATATAGTCCAAGATAGCACCAGTGATTCTCAATCAGCTTGGACCTTCAATAGCCTGGGTATTCTTTAGATTTAATATGAAATCAAGGGGTTATTTCTCTTTGCCTAAGTCAAATGAGGGGGCTGATCAATATCATCCCTTCCAACCCTCATAATCTAAAATTCAATGTATTTCTGTCTTATTTCTAAGAGTGCAAAGTGTTATGTAACAGAGAAGCAATATGGAAATAGTGATCAACTTGGAGTCAGTGGACTTTGCTTCAGATCCTGGTTCTGTCACTTAAGCCCAGTGTTAACAGGGCCATGCCACTTAAACTTTCTAGGCCTTTGTTTCCTCATTTTACAAATGAGGAGGTTTGACTACCTGGCCTCCAGAGTCCCTTCACTCTAAATGTATCATCCCATGTTTCTTGAGTCTATGTTTTGTCCCTTTGTCAATAAATGGATATGATCTTATGTTCTTATAGTCCTATTTCACTTGAATCTATGCTTTGTCCCCTTTTCAATGAATGGATATCATTCTATATTCCTTGAGTCTATACTTTGACCCTTTATCAATAAATGGATATGATCAGATGTTCCTATGGTCCTATTTTCCTTGACCGTATGCTTTGTCTCTTTATTCGTAAATGGAAACTCCTTGGGGGGTGATAGATGGGGACTCAATCTTTTTCTTGTATCACCACTCATATCATAGCACAGCACTGAATGCAGAATAGATGCTAAACAAATATTGAAATAAGTAGAATGAAAATTTACGTGAACCAAAATGAATCTTGCCTTGAGAATTTACTATGATTCTATTGAAAAAACTAGAGACATAAAGCTTGCCATAAAGTCAAGTCAGGAATGATTAGTGTACAGTGTGGAACATCTAAATGAAAAAGTGAAAAATTCAGTCTTTGAGACAAATATTTTGTCTATATACCATTTCACTGTGTTTCTCATTTTAATTAAGATGTTTGGTATCTTGTAGACATTGCCAGTTAATAAGAATAAATTTGCTTTTAGCCTGAAGGACAGGGAGATAGGTACTAGACCTCTGATTTCCTTGTTGTAGGAAATCCTTTTACCAATGAAGTTCAACACCTTTTCTGCAACTTATACTCTGAGAGGGTTTCCTAGAGCACAGGCACAAACAGCCAGTCTATGTCAACGAATGGAATTGAATCCAGATCTTCTTGGTTTCAAAGGAAATTCTTTAGCCACAATGTCATGGTGCCTCTAGCTAAAAAGGGATTCTTGAAGCACTGATGAAATATTGACCTGTTTTCTTTCCTGTGGCAGATAAAAAACAGAAGGCACAAATAGCAACAATCAATAAACAAAAATACACATTAAAAACCCCACCACCACCAAAATGATTATGCATGAAACTGTATACTTTGAGCATTTAATTTTTAAAAAATTTGTATAATTAATCAACAACAAAAAATATCCTGTTTCCTTCTGTGTCCCACTCTGACTCAATTGGGGAACAGCTGAACAATATCATTCCTTCCAACCCTTATAATCTAAGATTCAATGTATTGTATTTCTGGATTTTGTCACTCAAATTACTAATTTCAGTTAATGTTTTTGTTTTGTTTCTGCTTTCTTCAGTCTGTATCACTTCACTTCTGTCTTTGCATTCTTTATTCTTCCTTCCCCTTCCCTCCCCTCTTTCACTTCTCCTCCTCTCATTTTATTTTCTTTTTGTCTTTTCCTTGACCAATATTTTCATCTGGGTCGAGACCTCCCTGGAAAGGAAACTCCTTTAATTGACGCAAATTGTCAACGGTTCTGTAACTTAGTATTTAAGGAACTTGCATGGGATTGTTGAGAGGTTAATATTGCACATTCAGTATATGTTAAAAGTAGGATTGAAATACAAGTTTTTCTGACTCAGAGATGAGCTCTCTATTCAGTTACTCCATTGCCTCTTTTGTCATTTCTTGTGGCCCAATAATATTCCATTATATTAATTAACTGTGGTTTATTCAGTCATTTTTTAATCATTTGACTTAGTTTGTTTTCAGGTTTTTTGTTTTCTTTTTGGCTCCTTAATCTTAGAAAATTGAAAAATCAGTATTTTTTGGAATAAAATCTACCTTCTAAATCCTATATAGAAGCCCATATTTGAGAAGTATTTTGACATGTCTTTTTTTTTTTTTTTTGGCTTCTGAGAATTTGGTAACTAGCTGGTTCAGAAGATAGTGCATGGCATGTAGTTTGGAAGACTTGAGTTCATAATCTCGTCTCAGACACTTAATAACCACACATTGGAACCTGGACAAATCACTTAGCCTATCTCAGCTTCAGATGCCTTATCTATAAAATGGAGGTAATAATTACCTCACAAGGTTGTTGTGAGGATTAAATGGGATAACATTTGTAAATTACTTTGAAAGCTTTAACACACTTTACAAATTCCAGATATTCATTTTTTCAGTCAAGCAAGCTATGGTTTAGAGGGCCTAAATTAGATATACTATTTTAAACAATTCAGTTATTCATATTGGACTTCAAAAATATTATTGTAGTAAGTATTCTATTCACATCCCCATTTGGTCATCTCATGTTTCTGGTTGACAGTTCTCATAAAACTTTGACTAAATATGCAAAAAGTCAAAGGGATGGAGAGAAAATGACATTGGGTCCAAATCCCATAGGATGGGGCAGGGTTCAGGAGTAGAAAGGGAGGAACTGAAGCTGAAAACACCTGTCTCCATGCCAGGCCCTCCTTTGTCCTCCACTGCTTTACTGGTGACAACAAAGTGGAGTCCCAGACAAGTTAGCCAATGAGAGAGCAGGATTGGAGGATGGTGCCAATAAGAGAGTTAGCAGTAGAAAATCAGTGCCCTTGAGTAGTAAAGAAGAGGGGGAACATTGACTTGCTCCTACTAGAAGTGGCTGACATAGAGACTAGATAGCTGCATTGTCTCGAGGAGCACAGACTGCTTAAGGGCTACCTAGGTCTGGAATGAGTCTTGAGTGAGAAGTCTGACTTGCAGGTTTTTTTTTTTAACATATGAAGTCATGCAAAATATATTTGCATGTTAGCCATGGGCTTTAAATTTTCTTTAAATTTAAACCCATTCTAAGTTGTTTTTTTTTTAATAATCTTAGTTAACTTTAAAAAAAATTCTTCAATTTTGAACTTAAATATAAAGAAATAAAAACAATAAAAAGAGTACATATACTTTCATGTATATCGCACAACATAAAAAGAGGATTTAATATAAAATGAATTTCCACTTCACACTCTTTACTTAAAAAAAACCCAACTATGTAATAAATTCTACACATCATTTTCAAAGCTACCCTGATTTTTTTGTGCTTCCTTCTAAGTTTTTAAGATGTTTTAATACATTGGGATAGGGACTGGACTGTAATTTGATTGGTATGAAGAAATCCTGGTTCCCTCTATCACTGCAAGTCAGAACCTTCTCATCACATTTCAAATCTTAGACAACCTTCTGTCTCCTTCCTTCTCAGTGGAGGATGTTGGCTCTCATTTTTGAAAGAAAGAAAAAAAGAAAGAAAGACGAAGAAAAAAAGAAAGGAAAGAAAAAGAAGGAAGGAAGGAAGGAAGAAAGAAAGGATGGAAGATCACTCATGGTAAACTCTCTCTTTTTATCTACTCCATATTCTATATTTGATAAATATTTTTAATCATTGCCCTCAATTCCCTTTTTCTTTGCTATGACTTCTGATGAAGAGGAAAAGAATTAAATAGGCCCTGCCCTCTAGGAGTTTATGTTCTTTTAGACGAGAATGTGCATATCTAAGCATGCACAGGATTTACACAAGGTAAGTAAAAGATAATTTGGGGGGACTTGAGGAAGACCTCACACAGAAGGTGGTACTTAAATTTTAAGAAAATTGGGGAGTCTAAGAGGTAGATGGTGAGGAAAGAGTGAATTCCTGGCATGGGGAATAGCTTGTCCAAAGGCAGAGGGATATGAGATGGAGTATAAAATGTAAGGAAAGGGGATAGTTTGGCTGGACCACAGTTATATGAAAGGGAGGAATGTATAATAATGCTATTCAATTAAATTCAGGAAACATTTATTAAATGCCTAGCATGGTGACAGTCTCTGTGCTAAGTTCTGGGAATACAAATAAGAAAAAGAAAGACAGAGCCTGAAGAAGCTTACAGTCTAATGGGGGAAGACAGTACACCAAAGGAAGCTAAAAAGCAGTGAGGATGGGGGAGGGGACACCAGAGGATACATGGCCCAGAAGCATGATGCTCTGCAGAGTCAAATAGTCCAAACAGGATTATGGATAAATAATGGAGAGTTACCTGGAAAGTTCTGAAAATTCTGTTGTTCAGTAATCTTTTAGTTATGTCTAACTCTTCATGACCCCATTTGGGGTTTTCTTTGCAAAGATACTGGAGTGGTTTGTCATTTCCTTCTCCACCTCATTTTACAAATGAGGAAACTGAGGCAAACAGGATTAAGTGACTTGTCTAGGGTCACACAACCAGTAAGTGTTTGAAGCCAGATTTGAACTCAGGAAGATGACTCTTTTTGACTCCAGGCCTGTACGTTACCCATTGTGCCACCTAGTCGAAAGTTCTGAGTCCTCTATAAAGGAAGGTTTTGGGAAGAGTTTATTGCTTTACCCTCCAGCCCTAGCAGTAGAAAATCAGTGCCCTGGAGTGGTAAAGAAGAGGGGGAACATTTACTTGCTCCTATTGGAAGTGTCTGACAGAGACATAGAGACTAGATATCTGCATTGTCTCAATGATCACAGGGTTTGGGGTGTACCCATATGTGCAGATCAGAGGAGAGAGGTAATTGAGGGAGTTAAGAAGGTTTTGAGTATGAAAAACTGAATCAGTCTACATAGTGATGAGATTTCAGGTGATCAGCTTATCGTGGAGGAGGCAAGATGTTCCCAAGAGACAAAACCAAGCACACAGGCTGATTGAAATTAGGGACTTAAATGAGAAAGGTAGATTGGAGATAGGTAAATATGCCACTGCATAGGATGCCAATTCAGGGATTCTGTAATCTGTGATCTGGAAAGGAGCTGACCCAATCAAGTAGCAGATAGCAAGAAGAACCACAGACAGGCAGCTTGACTACACTTGTGTCCATAAAGTGTGATAAGGATTTAAGACCTCAAGTGCATTTTATGGATCCTACACAGAATTTATGGGATGGTAGGCGCAAGAATCAGATAGGATTAGAAGGCGCTGAGTCAACCTGTACTATTAGATGATATCATGAACACAAAAAAGTATAAAAGTATGGTCATTAACCACTTTCATCTTAAAGCCTCTAAAATATAGACTCATGAAGTCAGCTTTAAAACACTTTGGATTTTAGAATGAAAATATGATGTCCTCTGTAAAATGCTCTTTTAACAGCTGTGATCCCATAAATGGGTATATTTCTTCCAATGATGTGGCTTATAACCTATACATAACTGTTCATCATGGGACACTGCTGTCCATATCTTTATATATTCGTCACAGTGGCTCCACCCAATTCGCCAATCAATCGACATTTATTAAGTACCTACCATGTACCAGGTTCTATGCTAAGTGCTGGGGGTACAAAAAGAGGTAAAAGAGTCCCTGTTCTCAAAGAGCTTACGATCTAAAGGGGCAGACAACACACAAACAGATGCATACAAAGTAAGCTATATACAGGATATATAGGAAATAATTAAATGAGGGAAAGCATTGGAATTAAGAGGGGATAAGGGAAAGCTTCCTTGAGAAGGTTGGATTTTAGTTGGGACTTAAAGGAAGCCAGGGAGGTCAGTAGTCAGAGTGGAGGAGGGAGAGCATTCTAGACAGTCAGAAAAAATGCCCAGAGCTACAAAATGGAGCATCTTGTTTGTGAAAGAGCCAGCAGGCCAGTGTCACTGGGTTAAAGAGTACAATGTGTTGGGGAATAAGGTATAAGAATATTGGGAAGGTAGGACGGGCTAGGTTAATAAGGACTTTGAATGCCAAAGAATTTTTTATTTGCTCCTGGAGGCAACAGGAAGACACTGGAGTTTATTATGTGTGTGTACGGTGTGTGTGTGTGTGTGTGTGTGTGTGTGTGTGTGTGTGTGTGTGTGTGTGTGTGTGTGTGTGAGTGAGTGTGTGACATGATCACAGATTCGAGTGTTAGGAAAATCACTTTAACGGCTGAATGGAAGCTAGATTGGAGTGGCGAGAGTCCTGAAGCAGGCAGACCCACCAGCAGGTAATTACAATAATCAAGGCATGAGGTGATGAGAACATGCACTAGAATGATGACAGTGTTAGAGGAGCAGAGGGGGCATATTCA